GCGCTGGCCGGGCGGGGTACTACGCGATTACTGGTGCGACAATTTAGAGCCCGTTCTCGATAGAAGCAGAATGAGCTAACCCCTATTCGAGCTTTTTAGAAAGAAATCACGCAGCAACTACCAAGACCTGCATTTGCCCTAGTCAATTACTTCCGAAAGTTAGTAGGTTAGCCTGCGAACTCACGACACATAGTTATCTCGGTCAGGTCGAGCTTGTTCGTGATAAAATCCCAGTGAATGTCCAATTTCGTGGCTGATGATTCCTTCCTGGATTCGGAATAGTCAAGTCGGAATAGTCGGAATAATCAAGATGTTTGCTTGAATTGGCAGTACAATATCTCAAGAAAACTACCGTTTCACAACCATAACCGATAGAAATTTCCTGAGCTCCTCCAAGTCGTCCGACGGATGAGTAACATCTGTAACAACCAATCTTTCCTCCAAGAAAGCTCTTTTCACAGGATAGTTCAGAAGAAAGATTAGGCTAGGATGGCGTCATCCTTACCCCTCGCCTTGGTTGAAAAGGAGATAGTCTGGTCCAGTACCCTCCACAAATCGTAGACAAGTATTTTGACTGAATTTATTCAAAACCATACGAATAGTTGATTGCCAACTTGCTGAAAGTTGAAATGAACTCGCTTTTATAGGCACAGTGTAACAGCCCTGTGATTGATCAAAGCAAAAGTTTAATCTTGAAGAAATTTGACAATTCAGACTCACTGTCAAAAATCATAATGACTGGTAAGACAACTCAGGCAAAGCTACTTAAGGTTGTTTGCAGCTGCAAACCCACATAATCTTCAGGCACCTTTGTTGAAGCGGAAGAGCGTCGGTGTAAGCATCCCTTCAACAATGATTACAGTTCACTCACCATCGTTGACTGCAAATCTGTACGGAATAGTAGTCGTTCTCCATCTTCCGTTTGCATTAGCTATCATTTTTCGTTTTCTCCGTCCTCTCCTAGTAATTTGAGAAGCTTGAGGTATCGTTAAAGCCATGTCAACTTCGTACATCGCGCCTCCTACCTAAATATTGGTGGATGACTGTTTTTAGTCAGCGATGAAGGCTAGCGTAGAGGTAGTAATGCGACTCGTATTGTAAGTTCGTTCAATTATCAGCCTCAAAGAGGTCACAGACCTGTTCTGCTAGTCGGAGCGTTTGTTTCTCAAACGACTGCAGAAATAGTCCAAAAACTCCACATGCGATAGTTTAAGCAACTGGACAGGTAATGTTTTACCAAGGGTGGATTTAGTTATTATCATTTGCAGTAGTGACTAACCCTCCGAAATCTCAGTAAACTCGTTACTGTCGCTCGCTATGGTTATTCGTTTTGCCCACACTTTCGAAGTTGTCATGTGCTGTGTGTTGTCATGGCGCTGTTGTTCCTAATGAAGAAATTATTTCCACCAAAGTTGGATTTTGTTCTTGCTAGTGGACTCTTCGAGTGCTACCTACAGGTGCAGTGCTTCACTTACATTCTGTAATTTGAGAAGATTCTTCAACAACCCAAGTCCAGCATATCCCGCACGGCAATGATCGACGCTAACCAGCTTACCCATTTCTAATGGCTCAACGTGTCTCAGTTCCCCCTGAGCAGCTTACCCATTTTTGACGGCTAAACATGTCCCACTTCCCTCTAAGGTTGTTCCTCGGAAAGCCGCTGGCGTGCAGCCCATGGATACCGGATATCGGGACCGTCTCAGAGGTGGGATGTCCTGCGGGTGGTAAACGATGATGTCGTGCGCCCCCTGCCTAACAACACCGCGCATGGGCGGGAGGGTTAACATGCACCCTTAGTGATTTGAGGTTCCATGTCGTAGGACAGTAGTCTTGGCTCACTGGTTCCGTGTGTGTATGGGCATAGCCTTGTTTTATTTACGTTTTTCATGTAGCCCAATAAAATCCATCTTTAAAATGGTCTCCAATTTCTCTCTTGCTTTAACATCGGCTTAGTTGTTTACGGTTGAGATATTCTTGTGCCATGTTAGGTTGTTTGGTAGAACAATTCATTAATTGAGCGGCCTAACGTTCTCGACGATGTCCTTTTTCAGAGGTCTGAAGCAACTCGAGATGATTTGCACAGTATAAAAGAGCGCATCGCCCCTCTGGCGAATGTGACGACTAATTCAAAAATCCCAAACAATCGGCACAAGGCGATTTTAATCACAAACATCTTTACAGTGTTTATTCTGAGTACAGGTGGGCTGAAAGTATAGCATGCGCCGTTTTAGCGCTTACTACCACCTTACCGATGGGTATTTACGAAACTCCCTGAGACTTCTCGAAAGCGCAGGAGCTGTGCAAGCAGTCTTATCAGTCATTTGATTCACCGTCCGCCTGAACCTTACCCTAAATCGCCTGAACGCTATGAAAGTTTTCTGGCACCGACACACCATCGAGAACATGCTCAGAGGTCTTAGGAGATGTGACATTGCGAAGTGACTCGTAATTCCCTCTTCAACCGTTTGAAATCTGTTTGCTCTGAGGAATCAAGGACATACCTCTAAGATGCTAAAAACGGACGACCGAGAACAGTGAACAACCGAGGATTCGACCGTTACTAAGAAGAGATTCACCCGCAGCGATGGAGCTAGCATAAATACGGTTGCTGCTGACCTCAATATCAGTCGTCAGACAGTTTAGATCTTGCGAAAGGCGACTTTAAGCTGAAGATTTATCGGCAGTGTAGAGGACAGTTCGGGACAGTTAAAATAAAATCGGCTGATGAAATGCGAAAAAACTTCTTCGAGAGCTCAGAGCGCGCCGCATTTCTGACGTGACCTTTACCAAATTAAAAATTTGCACGATAGAGCCCTGTCCATACCGTCGAATTCTGAGACCGTTGTTGTAAAATGCAAAACTACCTCATAAAGTATGATTGTTGGGGTCGGGGTGCATCAGACGGCAAAAGACTATTCGTCTTTATCGACAGTGGTGTGAAAAACGATTCCGAAGTCGGGTAAAAGGTTGTTTTGATGGAAACTCTATTGCTCTGGATCACTAGGCACTTTAATACCGATAGCTCGTACTTCACTAGGATGGACCCCTTTGCATGCTTCAAAGCCGGCGAAAGCCGTACTAAATGCGGACTTCTAGGGTACTAGGACAAGGACATCTGACATTCTTCCTTGCCAGACCTGAGTTGGATTTCTCTGCGTGGGGTTTTGGAGAGCGAGATCGCAGGACGATCCTACCGCTCGTTGACTCTTTGAAGTTGTCGCGTTAGAAGGTGTGGAAAGATATCGAAGTCGATTACTTGCGGCGCACTGCTGATTTAGTAATCGAACGTCTAAAGACCTGTGTAAGAGCAAGAGATCGAACTTCATGCTTCATGCATGCCCTGTCTTAAGTGGTCATGTAGCTCTACTCTATTCCTCAATAAGGTTCATTTGTCCACCTGGTTTTCACCTCAAAGTTATGCTTCCTTATGCGACTTCCTATACTTTTCAGCCACCCTGTGTTTATGGGTATGAACCCTTCATATGTTCATTATGTTCAGTGCTGTCAACAATAATGTGATTACTAAAAATATCGTCTGCTCGCTACGGTTACGGTCCCATTTTGGTTACTCGCCGTGAATTCGAATACTCGCAAAATTGAAGAGAGGTGCGAATTTTCTGTTGAACTAATTAATTGTCAAATAAACAGTCCAACGAACCCATTAAGTAAGCTCTACAGAAGTGTGATTATCATCTTTGGAAGCTTTTTTACTGATATCCAATCATATCAAGACCTTACACAATGAGCTATTCTTTTTTTGCAAAATCAAAATTTATAAGTGATTCGGTGATTATTCTTAGAAAAACGAGCGGAATATAAGGTTAATGGCTTACCTTCAAGTTACCATTGATTTCATTTTGTGAGACAGTTGGGCGAAGAGGTAATCGCCCAGGGTCCTATAATATAATTCATTATTCGAATATCGTATTTAGAAAATGTATGATGAACTTGCAAAAGATTGGTTAGTTGAGCACAGCTATTATACTTGACATGTCCTGTATTTTTGATTTCCTCCCCCGGTAAAACCAGCATTCATTTTCTTTTCTTAGCGTTATCACAATATGAAAACACTGATATCAGAGCACTCGGCGATTGCCCAGACTTGATGAACTTCTGAGGAGAGGGTTGTTGAGAGTAGATACGGTAGTGGCAGAAACTGCTTAGATACTCGCGTACTGATAACAAATTAGCTTAGAAATCTTCGAACCTACTATACAGGGTGTCCCAGAATTACGGACGCCAACTCATGGCAATGTATTGAAAGCTACTCTACTGAGAATGACAATAGAACCTGTATACTCACTTGCTTACATCATTTGCTACAATACGCTATATTCACATTTCAAAACAACCATAATGAGCGTGGATACAGGTCCAAAGTTCGCTCTCGAGCACCTCGCATGTTGCACGCAGGTATCCTCCTCCATTTCTTCCCAACCTTTTTTGAGCCTTGCTTTCTAGGACCCCAAACTGGGACCGGAAACCCGACAGGTCCTCTTCTAATCAACAACCATACGAAGGAGTCAAGTAGGTTAAGATCTGGAAAGCACGGTGGCTATTCCTTTCTGTTAATGAAGTCGGGCAGCTAACGTCAGCACCACTCCCGGGCGAGCTCGGCTCTGTGGGCTGGAGTACCGCCCTGCTGGGAAGGCTACGAGGAGTTTTAGGAAGCGGGGTTGGATCAGTCCTTCATCGCGTCCTTAGTATGCCTTTTAAGCACAGCAGGTCTTTCTCAAATTTCACCCCGGCTTCGACGAAACCGCGAGCGTCCTACACTTGTCAGTGACTCCCTCGAAAAACATCATTGTGCTCTTTTCATAGCAGCTTTTTTGTGAGACATTGCACATTCGATATTTCTATACGAAACACGTTGATATCTTGATATCTTGTGGAATGTTTTCCGGAAATTTTTGAGCTAGAGAAAACGATGCAGGGATGCGTGTCTCAACTTGAGCAAGTCACAACTTTCCGCATTTTTTCATCCTACACTGTCTGTTGAGACTGAAAATGAAGTGGGAGTTCTGCATATGATAGGAATGGTGAGGAAGCCCTGCTACGATAAGACGTGCCCGTTGACTTCCTTTTGATCGGTAACCTAGGACCATTTTCATAGTTCTATCTCTGGCAGAAACATTCTACCTTTCTACCTTTCCTGGTTTGTCTCTGATTCATTCTTCTTTTCTATATCGTTTAAAAGCCCTCTATATGGTTATTATAAAAATCCCAAGAAATTTCTTAATGTCCTTCCACCTCTCGCATGCCAGTGTGCAAGTGGCATTGAATGAGCCTCCTTCATCCGAAAGTTATTGGGAGCTTCCCTTCAGTAACCGTAAATTTTGAAAGAAAACCTTCGTAAGCATTTAATCAATAGCGGGTGAAGTGGGTTTGATGAGTTACTTCAAATTTATAAGTTTATATTATTAGTTTACATATATAACGCGCTAAGTACGTCTGTTTGTTTCTCGGTGTATCTGTCTAGACAGGAAATTCATAACTCCTGTTCTCGTGGACTTAGAGCGCTCCAATTCGTTATCATCACAGGGGGGAGGACGTGAACACCGACGGTAGTGGTAGGACTGGACTCCACCCTCGGCGAGCTAGAGTGCACGAAAATGTGTCTTACGGGAAAGTTCATGACATCCGTTTTGCGAGTCCTAGGAATTTTGAACTTGCTAGGAGTACAGGCGGCTATATGGGAAGTCTGACGGTAGACGATAGGAAATGACTGAACTGGATCTCGGCCGCGGGGGCGTAGAGAAGATGAAAGGGGGGGGGGGGGGG